CGTTCTTGGCAGAGGATGAAGGGTACCTCCCCCCACATATGGTGGGCCTCTCTTCACAATGAGTGTCCCATGTGAGAGGGGAGAAATTCATTGTCAGAGAAATGAGTGACACATATTTTGCCTGCTGTCATTCAAGCAAAACTATTCATTGTTCCATATTGTTGCTGCTTGGCCTTCCTCCTTGGCCTTCCTGTGATTTTCTGGCCTTTCACAAATGGTGTCTCTCCATCTCTCCTGCCAAGTACGTTTGGTGGACTCTGAGCTGAAAGTGACCTGCACTCCTGAGGGAAAAAAATAAAATAAAAAAAGATAACACACTGTCCAATAATGCTTAATTTCGCCGCTTATTTTCTTTTCTTTACCAGTTTAGTTTAGCTTCAATCTTTTTTGGGCAGTCTTTTATAAAAATAAGATTTCCTCACCAGATGAACACACTTTCTCTTTCCACTTTCCTCCTGTTGCAGAGCTGTCCCAACTTCAACAGCTTGGGGCTGTGCTTATGTCGCCGGCAAGAAGAGATTCTCTTGGCTCAATCAGGGACTTTGCGGTGCCTCTGAGATCAGCAAGACGTACTCTTCCCTGTCACCATCTCTTCGGGACGGTTTAGGTCCAGATGGACCGTCCAGTGGCAAAAGTGTTGACTGCGATCTCGGAGCTCCGAGATTGCACATTGTGTCGTCGCAACATCAGCTCTCTTCCCCCATCCAGAGTCCATTTTTGTTGGGCAGCTATAATCAAATCAGTGCAATAGATGCATGAATTTCTGGGATTCCCCCACCTCCCCCGTTTCTTGACCTGGCCTGTCTGGCGTCCATCTTGAAAGGCTGCTCAAGTTTTTGTCTGTCCCTTCTTGTACTAAACAAAGTCCAGGTCCACCATTTTGAGTTTCTCTTCCCTGCTTCCTTCTATGTCTGAGCACATAAACGCTTTCCCAGGTTTTCTTTGGATGGTTCTCTCATACCCTTCTCCTAAATTCCTTTACAGAAATAGTCTGTTTCTGGAAAACTGCTGTAAATATGAATCGGCAATGAGATTTAAATCAGTGTTTCCCAAAGTTGACCATGTTAAGATGTGTGGTCTTCAACTACAAAGCTGGCCGGGAAATTCTGGGAGTTGAAGTCCACACATCTTAACATGGCCAACTTTGGGAAACTCTGATCTAGGAGTATTGTCTCTCTGCCCTCCTCCCTTGTCTACAGAGTTTGTCAGGATGATGTCTCGCTGAAGACGGCTCTTGAGCTGAGCAGTGACCCAGCCTCAGAGGGTAGAAAAGGGCCTGTGTGGCGCACCATGCCCTGAGCTCCTATGCAATGCCGGATGCCCCATCGACGGTGTGCCGCAGTGACCTGCCTCACTACTCCACCTGGCCTGATGCTCCTTCCCTCTCTACACTGTGAACGATTTGGGGGTCTCCTGCATCCAAAGTGCTGCCGGGGGAGGCGATCTCATGGGGGGGGGCAGCGGTGCCTGTGCCTGAAGCAGCCATCGAGGGCTGGATGTTGTCAAGCTCTCCTTTTCCAACGCCTCGCCTGCTTTTGCTCTTCCGGCCAACCCTGCCAAGCGATGAGAAAGGGGGGGGCTGGATGTGGGGGAGGCCCCCAGGAGCAGTGCCTGACATGGACTGTGCTCTGGACTTGTGTTCCTTGGCCAATGCGCCTTTTGCGAAGGCCTCCTCCCGTCTCCTCTGTGTCGCCTTGATTTTTGCCTCTGGAATGTTTTTCTGTCTCCCTACAGTCATGTTAAGGGGCACCGATATATGTTTGTGCAGAAAAACAAATAATATTGAGCAAATACTCTCTGCGAGGCTGGCTCTTATTTCCCAAGGGATGATGGGGCCATTAGGGGGTCCCTGGGGGGTCAAGGCCCACAACTCTATTAAGGGGGGCTGCTAAGAGCCTCCCCCCCAAGCTGGAGCTAAGAATAGAAATAGGAATAGAAATAGAAACCAGCCAGTTTGCAAACTCACCCAAGAAGCCACGTTGTGGGACAACATTCAACACCCTGTCTGTTCTTCCCACTTGCCCCCCGGCCATCCAAGTCTAAGGCCAACATGGTGGCTGCAGCCCTGCAATTGAGGCTGTCTATTTCTTATCTGTGCTGCTGCCATCTTGACCTGACTCCAGAGATGCCAGCTGCTGAAGGAGGAGGGCCAGGACTCTCACCTGACTGGGCTGGCCCTTCATCTGAGACAGCCGGGTGCCAGGCCCTTGAGGTGCATGCTGTGCACAGGAAAACAGGCAGAGCTTTGATTCCACTGATGTGGCCGCTATCTTGACTTTTTTTGACCAAACACTGCAGACCTCCTGAATGGAGCTAAACCCTTTTACACAAGTGGGAATTGGGAGCTCTTTGTACTCAGAGTGGTAGGCAACTCATCTAGCGCATTAAAGAATCAAAATGGGCTTTTACAAAATTATTAAATTCAGGCAAAATTAAATTCATCACGGCGCATCTTAAATGGCCAAGCAGGCTCATATCTAGTGAGGGTGGCAGACCAGGAAATCCACATCCCTGCTAAAAAAACATGGTTGCTCATGCATCTATGAAGCGGTCAGGAGCACGGGAGTCTTTGTCTTTATAAAACGATTGCACATGCACAAACACACACATCCCTTTGATGTGTTCATGGAGGTCTCACTATAGTGCCTGTATAAAAACTTCAGCAAAGACGAAGCACATGAAATGCAATATCAATGGAGATTCGTAATGCAATCAGCAGGAAAAGCCTTCCTCTGGATGACTAAATACAAAACGAAATACTGAAATTACTCTGTACGACACAACACGATTAATCTAGATCAGTGTTTGTCAATTTCAGCAACTTTAGGGTGTGTGGCTTTCTCTAGAATTCTCTAACCAACAAGGGAGCCTGAAGAATTCTGGGAGTAGAAGTGCACCCTCCTTAAAAGTGGCCCAGTTTGAGAAACACGGAAGCTGTTTGGAAGATACGGACATCCCGTGGCAGAAGTTGGTGGTTGTTGGCTGGGAAGCAAAGAGGGAGAGGGGCGTGGGAGGCTTTGGTGGTGTTGCCACTGAATAGGTGTCCTGTGCCTGTGGGAGGCCCAGCTGAGGGAGGGACTCCCATTCTGATCTCACATGCCTACAAAAGGAAAATCCCAGCTTGTAGAGAAGTGGCTGTGAAGAAACCTGAACTCTTTGCACAGTGTTCACACAACAAGCTAAAGTAGCGTCATAATCGCAGGCTAGAAGAACATGGCTGGGTTCAGGTCGTGTGCTCAGACCCATCAATCAGCTGATTATAGTTCCATATTAAGGTCAGAACCCCAAAGACACAAAACCATCAGCTTCTTCTCCCACATGGTGTGAACCACACTTGCCCTGACAAAAGTCCAGAATGGACAGCTCCCCCCATGGCTTGGTTTTGCCCCTTAGTTAGCACCTCTCAATAAACCTGGGGGGGAAAGGAGGGGTGAGGACCCGGTCCCTCCAGCCTTATTCCTCCTGCAAGAGAGGCTCTCTTGCTTCTCTGTCAAACAACCCATGGAGGCAGGGGGAGGGTTGTTGGGAGGCAGTTTTCGCGTACAGACGGATTTGGGGATTAGGTCTTCAATCTAATAATCTCATTGCAGAGATTACTCATCTCATCTCCCAGCCAGTGCAGCTTAATTGGTCAGCATCTCAGCCTGTTTTTCTGGCATGAGACATCTGGGAGAGGAACTGGACCTCCTCCTCTCTGCAGGGGCCGTTCCAGCCTCATGTGCTCCAGGAGTGCAGGACTGTCTTGAAGCCATTCTGGTTAGGAAGGCCCAAAGGGGAGAGGTGCAGGTGGAGGACAGGTGGTGTTTGGAAAGGCTCCATGCAGGGGATGAAGGGCAGTTCACTCCTCCCTACCAATAAAGGAGAATATTTGTAGCTCAGGGTTGAAATGAGGGGTCCTTAGTGCTCTTTGAGCTTGGTTATTTTCTTGCAGACGTTTCATTACCCAACTAGGTAATATCACTAGCACTGATGATGTTACCTAGTTAGGTAATGAAACGTCTGCAAAACAAATCCAGGCTTCGAGAGCAACAAGCTCCCTCCCCTGGCCAATTTGCCCTACGAAAGCAGCATCACAAAACAGCTGGATCTCTCAGCTGGTCCTCATTTGCCCTCCCCTTGCTTGGGAAGAGAAAGTACCCTGAAATGTTTGGGGTTAGAACCCCAATTCCAGACCGTCCAAGCTGGAGCTGCTGCCGCCAGCCCTCTCCAGAGTGCAGTATTGGCAAAGACAAGGGGCCAGGGCTGGGGATCTCCAGAGGGGAATGTGGTCATGGGCACAAAATTACAGGTCTGCTACAGGGAGAATTTTTTAAGCAGCATAAATGTTGGATTTTGAATGCTATTAGCGTTGGTGGAAACAACCACAAAGAAAGAGCTGAAGTTAGGAGCCATTTGCAGCTGCTCAGTTGCCAAGGAATGAACTAGATTTTGTGTACCACGTACTACCCCTTTCCAGTCTCCTCTGCTTGATAAATTGAAATATGACAATTCTATTCCTCTCCACCTGGTGGACTAAGTCACGCTGAGTCTCATTTACAATGATTACAGATGATGCTCATTAATCTCCTGTGATTTGGCACTTAGCTTAAGCTCCGATTTGTCCAGATCAGCAATCCTTCTTCAAATTATTTAAATGCAACTGAGAGCACATGGCTGAATATGAATTGGAAATGAAGTGCTGCATTTCCTCAAATGGCTGCATCCCTTTGCAGCCTAAACCAAGCTTTCTGCCCTCCCAAAGCAGGAGCCAAGCAAAACCAGCCCACGGGTGGAAGCGTAGTAGGCCTTTCTCTATGGACAACTGTAGTTATACCCCTCCATTTTCAGCCTGGATTTGCCCAACCGGCATGTTGAGGCTAAAGTTTGTGGTAGGCTTGCCTGTTGTTTCTGCATGTTGGGTGGGTCATCTCCTTAAACCATGATAAACAATGACTGCAAGATCCCTTCCACCTTGATCGGGGGTCTCCAAACTTGGCAACTTTACGACTGTGGATTTCAATTCCCATAATTCCCAAAGCATGGCTGATGCTGGCTGGGGTATTCTGGCAGTTGAAGTCCACAAGTCTTAGACCTAGATGCTCCACTGACTTACTAGGTTTAGGGTAACATGTTGCATTTTGGTAATTGGTGTTGAGGATTTAGCAGGATGTATGAAAGTACGAGAACTTTCTGCCAAGGATGGATAAAGTCACAGAAAAGCCTGGGTAGCAGTGGTGGAATTCAGCCAGTTTGCACCTATTCAGGAGAACTGGTTGTTAACTTTCTAAGCAGTTCGGAGAACTGGTTGTTTGAAGAAATCTTTTTTTTTCCTACTTTACAGGGCTAATCCTGTAAGGAAGGCAGGAAGAAAACATTCCGGTGTTGTTTCTAGCCTAACCTTTATTGCCCTGTTTACAGAATCTGCCTCTCAGGTTAACCCATATTACATTGTAACAGCTAAGGCAAAGTGCTCATGCCTACCCAGTCACATGACCACCAAGCCCCGCCTACACAGCTGGTCTTTAGGGCAGAGAACGGGTTGTTAAATTATTTGAATCCCACCCACTGCTGTTTAGGCTCCAACACTGTTTTGTTTTGGCGCTTCATTCAATCCTTTTTCCTGCTGCCAGCAGCATTTTGCCAGAAAAAGGAGCTGAAATGGTGGAGAATTCAGGATTTTTATTTTAAACATTTCTGTGCTCCATTTTAATATGAGGGGGCAGGACAGGTATTCCCATCAGGGAGCAACTATCCTCGGATCCTGCCAGGCAAACCCCCCCAAAAGTGACCTTGTGCAAGATGCAGACTGTGCCACTGACACGAGTGATGCATGTTAGGTAATTGGCATTCTTTGTGTGAAGGCATGGCTTCCCATGGACACGTGTGCCAGAATTGATTCTTGGCCAAGGTAAGTTGAGCTGCTTCTGCTTCCTCCTATCTTTACTTACCTCTGTGTCCCGTAGACTTACTCCTTGTCAGACAATCAGACAAACAAATAAATGTTGTAGAACGAGGAGCAGAGAATGTTGGTCATGCCAGCCTGAAGAGGTAGTTTCTGCAGAATGCAGAGGGTTCAATTCCCTGCAAGAGGAAAATCACCCAGCAAGGAGCCTGTTGAGATCGAGGGCCCTTCCAGATGAAGGCTGGGCCTGACAAAGGGCTGCCATGAGTCCACTCTTCCATCCTCCCAGCAGATGGCATCATTACTGACATTTTGCAAAAACAATTTCTTCTCGTTTTCTCAATATTTCATCCATGTGACGGGTGCTCTTTCTTTCTGGGGTGTGGAGTGGCTTCAGGCCACTCAGCTCCAAACTTCAGTTTCTTGCCTTAGTCAAGGCGGCAAACTTCAAAGGGGCCAAAGCATAAAATTGTACAATGCTATATAAAAGAAAATCTGGTTCCTTTTTTGAAAGAGGTGAAAGGAGAAAAGATTTCAGGATGAACCAGGATGGGGCAACACGTCTGACTAAAAGCAGATGGTGCCTGGCTGACAATTCCCTCAATTTAAATACTATGTCCTCATACTGTCCCAATTTCTGAAAAGTGGAATTAGTCATTTTTTTAGTCATTTTTAGTCATTTTATTGACATTTATAGGCCGCCCTTTTCCCT